CTACTTGGAAGGCTTAGGCGGAAGGAACACCTGAGCCTAGCAGGTCGAGGCCTGCGGTGGCTGTGAGCATACCACTGTACTCCAGCTTGGGTGATGGAGTGAGAGACTCCAACGCAAAAAACAGAAATAAATAAAAAAGCGGGGCATGGTAGTGCATGCCTGTAGTTCCAGTCACGTAAAAGGCTGAGGTGGAAGGATTGCCTGAGCCCAGCAGGTGGAGGCTACGGTAGCCATGAGTGTGCCAATGGACTCCAGCCTGGGTGACAGAGACTCTGACTCAAAAAAAAAAAAAAAAAAAATCAGAGAGCTCTGGGAGCCAGGCACAGCCAGTGCTAAGAGGAGGGTTGGACGAGGGCTGCTGGGGGGAGCAAAACCCTGGCTCTATCTGCAGGCTGCAGTAGGAGAGGTCCAAGCTGGAGAAACCAAGCTTTTCAAGGGGTCCCTTGGGCTCTGTTGGAGGTCAGGAAACATTTACAAGGATCCTGGAAGGGGTGGGGGCTGTACATCAAGGCCAGGAGGGACTCAGCTGACCCCAGATGTCTTATACACAGTGGTTCAGAAACAAGAAAATGTTTTCCTCCTTTGTTCGTTCAAGGCAGAGGGTAGGAAGGGATGGGAACACTCAGTCTGCCCAGTGATGGGGACACCAGGGAAAACCAGGGAAGGCTTAGGTTTGGGGGTTGGAAGCATTTCTCTGCCATTTTTTTCAGTTTCATTTCCTGCATACAGGGACCTTATCACAGGTGCAATTAAATACTTATCTACATCAATGTTTGTGCAATATTCAGCTCCCTTGGCTGGGACAGAAATCCAGTAGGGGAAGGGACCTGACTCATCTTACCCTTCATTGCTGCGACCTTGAACAAGGTGATTAACCTCTCTGTGCCTCAGTTTCCCTATCTGTAAAATGAAAATAGTATGAGACTTACCAGACACAATCTTTTTTTTTTTTGAGTTGGCATCTCACTCTGTCACCCAGGCTAGAGTGCAGTGGCATGCTCACAGTCACTACAGCCTTTGCCTGCTGGGCTCAGGCAATCCTTCTGCATCAGCCTTCCAAGTAAGCTAGAACCACAGGCATGCACCACCATGCCCGGCTAATTTTCTGGTTTATTGTAGAGACGAGGTCTTGCCAAGTTGCCCAGGCTGGTCTCGAACCCGTGGGCTCAGGCATTCCTCTCACCTCCGCCTTCCAAAGTGCTGGGATGACGGGCAGGAACCACCACTCAATCTTATATAAAGCCAGAAAGAAGAGAAAAGGAGGTAAGACAGAAACAACATGTAAGAAGGCAGACTTATGTCTAGATATGTCCACAATTACATTAAATATAAATAGATCAAATGCCCCAGTTAAAAGACAAAGATAGGCAGACGGGATCAAATGGAAAAGCCCAACTCTGTGTTGCTTCTAAGAGATACTTGTGTGATATAAGGATACAGAAAGGGGGAAGGTGAAAAGGTGGAAAGAATGAAATATTGGTGACATGAGGCAGCCTTCAGCACTTTGGGAGACCAAGGCGGGAGGATCACTTGAGGCCAGGAGTTCTAGACTAGCCTGAGCAACATGGCGAGACCCCATCTCAATATTAAAAAAATAAAGTATCTACTTTTCTTTTCTTTTTTTTTTTTTTGAGTTGGAGTCTCACTCTGTCACCCAGACTGGAGTGCAGTGGCACTCTCACGGCCACCCCAGTGCCGACCTGACCTGCTGGACTCTGGCGATCCTTCCACCTCAGCCTTCCAGGTAGCCGAAACTACAGGCGTGTGCTACCATGCCTAGCTAATTTTTTGATTTATTGTAGAGATGAGGTCTCGCCAAGTTGGCCCAACTGGTCTCGAATCTGCGGGCTCAGGCAATCCACTCTCCTTGGCCTCTCAAAGTGCTGGTATTACAGGCTGAGCCACTGAGTCTGGCCTAGTATCTACTTTATAGGGGAGGTTTAAGTCTGCAAAAAAATTGGCTGGGCATGGTAGCTCAGGTCTGTAATCCCAGCACTTTGGGAGGCCAAGAGGGAGACCAGCGTCGGCAACTTGGTGAGACCTCGACTCTACAATTAAAATAAAAAATTTAGTTGTGTGTGGTGGCACACACCTGTAGTTCCCAGCTATTTGGAAGGATAAGGCGGAAGGATCACCTGAGCCCAGCAGGTACAGACTGTGGTAGCTGTGATCCCACCCTGTACTCCAGCCTGAGTGACAGAGTGAGAAGCTGATGCAAAAAATAAATAAATAAAAGTGACTGGGCTCGGTGGCTCAGCCTATAATCCTGTGTCTTTGGGAGTCTGAGGTGAGTGGATTGCCTGAGCCCGCGGGTTCGAGACCTGACTGGGCAACTTGGCGAAACCTCACCTCTACAATAAATCAATAATTAGCCGGGCGTGGTAGCACACGCCTGTAGTTCCAGCTACTTGGAAGGCTGAGGCGGAAGGATCGCTGGAGCCCAGCAGGTCGAGGCTGCGGTGGCCGGGAGCGGCCACTGCACTCCAGTCTGGGCAACAGAGTGAGACTCCAACTCAAAAAAAAAAAAAAAAAAAATTATAAATAAATAAATAAATAAAAGTGTTTCCTTTCAAATACCTGCTCAGTGAGTGCTAGCCATTATTATTATTCCTTATATATTTACTTTAGTAGCTTATTGTTTGTTAATTTTATTTATTTATTTGAGTTGGAGTCTCACTGACACCAAGGCTGGAGTGCAGTGGCACGCTCATGGTCACTGCAGCCTTGACCTGCTGGGCTCAAGTGATCCTCCTGCCTCAGCCTTCCAAACACCTGGAACTACAGGCATGCACCACCACACCGGCTAATTTTTTTTTTAAAGCAGGATTTATTGAGAGGACAGAAAAGCTCCTACAGTGGGAGGAGACCTGAAGGGGTTGCCCTAATTTTTAAAAAAATTTATAGTAGAGATGAGGTTTCGCTACATTGTCCAGGCAGATCTTGAACTCCTGGGCTCAGGCAATCCTCTTGCCTCCACCTCCCACAGTGCTGGGATGACAGGCGTGAGCCGCTGCGCCTGGCAGTTTATTTTATTAGTATCATGGTTTACTGCAGTTCCTCCTGCCCCTATGACAGATGCAGATGGATGGGCAAGTAACCCCAATGTGCAGATGAACCGTGGAGTTCAGAGGTAGATGGGGAATAGTCCAAGCCCCTCAGAACCAGGACTGGCTTCACTCTACCTGGGGGATTTCTCACAACCCCCACCCCCCACCCCATTGTGCTACCACCTCTTCTTGCTGCCCAGACTGCATGCTTTCCTTCCACAGTGATTTCCCTGAGCTTCCACCCCCTTACCTTTTGTGCCTGGCATTGTGCAGGCTTCAGGGCTACAATAATGAGACACAACAGCACCTTCCCAGACTTCAGGAGGCTTCCAGTCTAGTGGGCAAGGCAGAGGTAAATCAAATGCTGGTACAGATACAAATAAGCCAGTTATGAAGTGGAGGTTCATAATGCCATAAAGACAGTCAAATGGAAAACCTGGAGCGTTCTGGGAGGGCTTCCTGTAGGAGGCGACCTGGGAACTCTGATCTGAGAAGTTAGTTACTTCCAAAAGCCAGTTACCAGTTCCCTCCTCCAGGATAGCTGCCTCCAAAAGCTAGTGTCTGACTCCATTCATTCGTCTCCCATAGGTGCTGGGCATGGTTCAAGGAGGGGCTGGGTGCAAAACACAAAAATCCCCGTCAGGATCGGGCACAGGGTAGGGGAATCCAGAAGCTTAAGAACGACAAGATCATTCTGGAAGGGAAAAACTGCTGGGAAGGAAATAAAACCGAGCAGGGAGGGAGAAGTAACTGCCCCCGGTTTCAAAACAAGATCCATAAAAACTCATCTGATCGAGGGTGCCACCTTCTCCCAGGGCCGGGCGCCTTATCAGCCTCAGGCAGAGGGTGCCTGGAGGAGAAACTCCCCCAGTGACCCTGCTGCCTTAGCTGCCCTCCTAGCTGTGAATGAGCGCCTCCTGCACGCACCAGGCAACGTTCTGGGAGTTAGTCCGGGTGGGGGCGGAGGGAGGGTTCTCTGTGCCCTTGGGCAGGTCACTCCCCCCGAGGACCTCGGTCTTCCTCAGTGGCTGGGGCTTCGGGGGGGATGCCCAGCAATCCCAGAGGTGCCCAGGCCAAGCTGCTTAAGGAAACCACGTTTGGTGCCATCCTCCCAACAGCCCCAAGGTGAGAGTGTACGGATGAGGCGTTTAATCCCCTTTTCCAGATGAGCGGGAGGAAGCGCAGAGGGAGGCGGGAGTCGCAAAGGCTGCGCGGCACCGACCCGTGCTTGGAGTCTAGACTGGAGCGCCCCCGCCCCCGCCCCAAGCGGCCAGAAGGCTTCGGCCCCTTTAAGAACGCCCCGCGAAGCCGAGCAGGAAGGGGGC